AAGCCTCACCTTGTACAAGCTAGTACTATGCTTATTGAAACATGCTCAACCAACATAGAAGAACTAAGTAAAGCACACAAAGAAATGTCTGATACTATCAACGCATTGGACATAACAAGCAAGATGGCAAACTTCGATAAATCAAAGAAACCTCTCTTTATCTGTATGCGTCAATATATGCAAATGATTTTGGAAATGCTGCTTTTCATCAGGGCTGTAAGAACAGCAAATTGGGACCTCCACCTCAAAGCCCTTGAGACATTCACTAAGTACTTTTTTGCTCACGATAAGCTGAATTATGCACGCATGATTCCTTTATATCTAGCAGAAATGGAAAGTCTTAAGACAAGTGATCAAGAATTACTCGACGAATTCAAGCAAAGCAACTGGGTGGTCAACAAAAACCCTGAAGTTCCATTTTGCGCCATCGGTGGCGATCATGCTTTGGAGCACATTAACCGCTCAATGAAGGTATCTGGTGGCCTTGTTGGCATTACATTGAATCCAAGTGCTCGATCAAAGTTCTTTCTCATTGCACCTGAACTTGCAAGGTAAAGCTCATACGTGCGTTACTTGTCGCACACGTTATGCTATTAATATTATTCATATGCTTATTCAATTCAGTGCACCTACAAATTTCCGATTAATGTTCAGGTGTGAATATATTTAACAGATCATTTTCTTCATATAGATTATCGTCTGAAGCACAAGAATTGGCCGGAGTAAAATCAGAAAAACCAGAACAGCACCACACCATGACAGCTGCATATGTTTCGCGTGAAGAAAAGAATGTAGCAGCGCTGACTGAAACACTCAAAAGTTTCACAAATCCCTTTGATGAAGAAAGCGAAGACCTGTTTAATATCGTTACAAAAGCAGTTGTCCCAGAAAAGACCAAAGACGACCTTTGCAACCAAAGCAAGATTGGCGCTAAGTTATTTGAAGATTTTGTCCGTGATCGAGTCAACTCAGGAGAGTTAGGAGTCTGGTCACCGATGAAGAAACGGAAGTTAAGAACATGGCGCACAGTTGGAAAGGAAGTAAAGTTCAAGGCAAATGGTAAAGAAGTTGAGCTTAAGGAGGACAGATCGCTTTTTGCGCGTATGATGCTTGCTTGTAAATCAAGACCTGAGATTAACATCAAAGATGCAATTGGTCTTCATGAGTTTTCCGTAGTTCCCAGGTCTCTATTTGCTGCCGATGGTACAATGTTCCACTGTACAAATAAGAGTGTGTTCGCCAGTACCGGTCAGCGGTACCTAATGTTTTACTCACGTGACCGACTCTCGGTCGGCCATCTTTGTTGATTGTCTCACTCGTGTACTTCGCAGAGTTTATATTCAGTTATAATTTCGCTATTAAAGTTTCCCTGGTTCTGTGTATTGGCTTTTCACTTATTACTAACTGGCGTGGTGGCATTCGCTGGGTCTATCCAAGCCTCTTCATCGCCTCAAGTCTACAAATCGACTCAAAGCAAAGCCAAGCCGGCAAAAGTCGCCGAATAAGCACAAAACGTCAACATGGCATCAACTCATCGAGCTCCAAAACAATGGTGCCTTACGAAAGTTGAAACCATCACCACCTTCGAAAACTGGAAACAAAATATAGTATATTCATTATCTTTAGACAGCAACTTTGCTCCCTTCCTTGTCGAAGGATTCCAGTGGCAAAAGAAGACCAAAGGTCAACCTCTACGTGGCCTCACCAACGATGGCGAATCTGTACCTGAAGCTCGCCGCCGAACTGCTCAGCAAAAAGCGAATTTTCTCGAGTTGATGCTGGGSCAGATCGCAAATTATTGCCCAATAATCTCAAGGAAYTCGCTTGTCAAAAATTCCACATCCCTGGAGTCTATATGGCAGTCCATTAGACAACACTTTGGCTTCCAAGTTACTGGGGCACACTTCATTGATTTTTCCGAAATTCACCTAGAGCCTAATGAGCGCCCCGAGGACTTGTACCAACGCCTAATGGCCTTCGTGGAGGATTCTCTACTCAAAACAAACGGCCTTGCACACCACGGTGATGTCGTGGATGAGGATGAAGAACTCTCCCCAACCCTTGAAAATCTCGTAGTATTAACATGGCTGCGATTAATCCACCCTCA